CGAGCTGTTGGGGCAAGCGCTGTTGCATTGGGTTGCGGTTTCGTAGTGGTTAACACTACCTGCGCATAGGAATCCCCGGAGAGAACCTAGTTCAATTCTAGGCCAGAGTGATGCTGGTTCCGGTGGTTCTCGCCTGGGAGGACTCAGTTACCGGTAGAGGGGGGGGGGGGGGGAGACAAAGGCGGCCGGGCTACGTTCTGTTCCACACCACGCCATAGCGCCGACCTTCATAGGTGCTGCTACTCGCTAGCAGCGCTTGGGAGGGAATTGTGCCTCTTGATGGTTCTCTAGTAAGTGTAACAAAATTAGGCTGTCGCGACCAACATTGTCCATAATCAGGGGGTTGTGGGTTAGGTCGCGTCAATAGAAATGCGTCGGTAAAGCCGCCGCCGCCGCCGCCACCCGACGCAGCCAATCAGTAAGGAGTGTCACACGTCCACGAAACGTGGCAATTCGTTACCACTTCAGCACCACCGGTACGTTGGAGAGTAAACCCGGGAGGCGTGTACAAACTCCAGCTTACCGTGACGACAACAACCAGCTTCATCAGGCGATGGCCAGACATTGCGAAGCAGTCCCACCGTCTCGGCCTTCCCTAGCTCCGCTAATCGAGAGTTTTGTAAAAAGCACGCGAGCGACGTGAATCGCGGAGACACCCGGTGACTCATTGCAGAGCCACGGCGCCTTAACGGGCGACTGCATTTGCTTTGCTTGGCCACTCACCAACAACAATCACTGACGGGTTGTTGGCAGTCCTCCTCGTTATCTGGGGGCGATTTAGCCGCCAGGATTGAGGTAGCCGGGTGGCTGGGGGGGGGGGGGGGGGTATGGGGAGGGGGGGTATGGGGAGGGGGGGTATGGGGAGGGGGGGGAGCGGTTTGGGGGGTCTTAATGGCCATGTCGCAACTGAGGACCTAGGTTCGAATCCCGGCTTCAGTCGCTCCGTGTTTTAAGCCGGGTTCTCAAGGCCCACGTGGCTGGACATCTCTGAAAGCGAGTTTAATAGCTCATCGGATTCCTCCAGTGTGAATACATATTCTGATTCCGACGAAGCTTTCTCGGCCCGGTCACCAATGACTGGCACGGACGATATAAATTGTTGTGTTACAGAGAGATATATATATAGACAGGGTGGGCCAAAAATTTGGACACATAGGGTCATTTCCTGGGGGGGGGTGGGTTTATCAAGCTTTTGCAAGTGCAGCTCCCAAGCTTTGGACAGCGTTGCATTTGCTAATACGACAAGCAGAGTCGTTTGATATGTTTCAGTCTGCATACCGTGTCAACCCGTACGGTTTTACCCCGTATTCTCGTACAGGGAAATTGAGTTGTCAGGTCCGTACAGTGTACAGCCGTTTCAATACGGGCGACAAAAAACATGTCTACTTGTTTGTGTTTCTGCCTTGTGATGGGACTTTGTAGGATGAACGTTGAGGTTTATAAGGGCACGGGGTGAATTGGTCTGTAATAAGGTCGGCACTGATAAGGGGTTGACAGGTATGAGTCTAGTAATAGGTTTTTACCCTTTTAGCTGGCACAAAAACTGACACCTTTTTTGAGTTGTACGCCTTATGGTGTCATCTGGTCCAACACTAGTAGAGACTAGGCTCTAAGAAAAGCCGTCTCGGGTGTGGACCAATCAAATTCAAGGACAGTGCTTATCATTATCAGAGTTGTTTCTTTTTGTTTGCTTTTTTGACTGCTTGTGTTGTGGTTATTGCAAACATGATGCCTTGAATAAAGGTGTCAGTTTTTGTGCCAGCTAAAAGGGTAAAAACCTATTACTATATCTTGTTACTGGCAAAGGAGGTCTCATAAGGTATGAGTCTGTCTTGAAAAAAACTCCTCTTTAACTGACATTGGGAACCTACGGATGAAATGCGCCACTTTGCAAATGTAAATTATTATTCAGTTTAACACGTAGGCTTTCGCGACCAATATTATTCATAATAAAGGTTTTTGGGTTAGATCGGGTTTATTTATACATGTGTCGTAACCCTCCACCACCCGACGCGGCCAATCAGCAAAAAAAGTGTCACGTTGACAAAAGACAAATAATTCACTACTTTAGCCCACCGGTGTGTTGAAGAGTGAATCCACAACATTTACAGTTTGAGTACGACGTTTCGCTGGTAAATACATCCAGCATCATCGGGCAATTCGCCAGAATGGTAAAGCCCTCGTTTGCTCCCGGTTTTATATAGAGCAGCAGGGTGACGTCATCACTTAACTCATATCAGGTGCAGTGATTAGAGGCGGAGGGGGGAGGGGTATTGTAATTATATAATCGATTAGTAAATTATTATTATTTCATCTGGGATGAGTGCGAGAACAGGAGCAAACTTAAAAGTGTTTGGACCTGCAGAGTGAGTGTGTGGGTGAGTGTGTGGGTGAGTGAGTGCATGGGTGAGTGGGATGGTGAGTGAGTGTGCTGTGACCTGCGGTGTGGTGGTGGTGGTAGTTGAACACAGCGTGGTGGTGGTAGTGGTTGTGGTGGTAGTTGAACACAGCGTGGTGGTGGTAGTGGTTGTGGTGGTAGTTGAACACAGCGTGGTGGTCGTTGAGCATAGTGTGGCGGTGGTGGTGGTTGAACAAAGTGCGGTGGATGAGACGAAACAGTGAGTCTCATCGACCGAGTCCTCCACACGCGCGGATGAGTCCACGGATGAATTGGAATTGAAACCACGGTCGCAGCGCTATAAGGGTGACGATGTACCCACTGACCATCAGGTGAGCGAGTTGACCTGAGTGAGTCGGTGCCTACCCGATCATCAATCTCCCAGGCTGCTGCTGCTGCTGATGTACAATGGGTGGCATCACATCGCAGCGGCTAGGTAGGGAGGCGATATCACAAGCGAGCACTGATACCGGCTGCGGACCGAATGCGGCGCTTTTACCAACAACAAAAAAAAAACACTCGAGCGTTTGGAGAGAGGAGAGGAACAACCCCCCCCCCCCCCCCCCCCTAAGCAACGTCTTCTCTTTGAAGGCGAAAGCCACCGCGCATCGGACTGGACACTCGAGGGCGCCCATCAGCGAGACGCGATGGCAAAGGGAACGGCGAGGCAGTGGGAGAGAGGGGGGGGGTTCAAAGCTTTCTATAGAGCCGCCGAGCGTTCAAATGCCGCGGTGGAGGAGGCAGCGGTGAAGTTGGTGGTGGTGGTTCCTGGGCCTCCCCTAGGTCGACTCAGCCTCAAATCAGTACCTGGTGCACGCGGTGCGTAGGGAACATCGGCACTAGGGGTGCGTGATGCCGGCCACCCGTCCCCTCCACTCGCGTGCCGTGTGCCGGCTTTCATCGGCGCTGCTTGCGAACAGCACTTGCCCCAAAGGCTATGCTGGGGTGGAGGGAATCTTTGTCTTTGGAGGAGGTGGAGGAGGAGGAGGAGGACGGGGCTAGCGGAGTGCTTGGCAATGCTGCGTCTATGGGACCTTTTTGCCAGTGGCAAAGTATAAAAAAACAAGGGTAGGTTTTCCCCTCCCTAGCAATCAAGTCCGCATTAACAACACGTCCTTGTGGCAAAACATACAAAGAAACGCGCTCTGATCATATCTGGCATTGTTTTTTAAACTGATTGGCCCACACCAGAGCCAGCAGCTTTCGTTAGGGCCTCGTCTCACCGGTGTCAGACCAGAGAACGACTCCAAAAGGCGAAAAGTAATGAAGACAATCCAAGTATCGGGGCACTTGTAACTCGGGTTGAGCAGTCACGAAAGATTTAAATCGAAACTATATGGGACCTCTTCTTTGGTTCTTTCGATAAAGTCACGTAGAATGAGAATAAAATAATAAATTGATAAAAAATAAAATAACACAATAAAAATTATCACGACGTTTTGGTCACAACACAAGCGGCCTTCATCAGGTGAAGGGACGAAACTGTTTGAAGGCCGCTTGTGTTGTGGCCGAAACGTCGTGAGAATTTTTATTGTGTTATTTTATTTTATCAATTTATTATTTTATTCTCATTCTACGTGACTTTACCGAAAGAACCAAAGAAGATGAATCCTTGCAGTCACAAAAGCTTTAATTCGAAATATATGGGACCTGTTTGCCAGTATACAAAAATAAGAATAGGTTTTTTTCTGTATGGAAAACGTTGTTAATATCATTGGGGAAAATGTAATGATTAATGCCCATTATATCGGTTCTTTGGGTTAGAGCGCGTAAAATATATAAACGCGTCGTTCAACCCGCCACCACCCGACACAGCCGGTCAGTAAGGTGTGTCACGTACACAAAACACAAAACGTGGCAATTTGTTACCACTTCAGCACCACCGGGGTGTTGGAGAGTAAACCCAGGACGTGTAACAAATTCGAGTTGACCGTGACGATCCGCTGGTGATTACAACACCGACAACAACAGCAAAGACGACCAGCTTCATCAGGCAACAGCCAGACATTGCGAAGCAGTTCCTCCCGTGTCGGCCTTCCCTGGTTCCGCTCATCGAGAGCGATGTAAATATGACAGGTCGGGTGGTGGAGGGTTTAACGACGCATATTTATTTTCACGCGATTCAACCCCCCCTCCCCCCGAAAAAAAGAGCGTATATTTTTTACGGATGATCTTGATCGCGAAAGCCGACGTTGTTAAAACGATTTATGTAGTCGTCTCGATTGATGTATTTATTTAATTACTTATTTCTCGCGAACGAGGTGGCTTTTTTCCGTCACAACGATGTTGACACAGGTTTGGCGGGGCGGGGGGGAGCGCAGCTGCCCTCGAGAGGAGAACGCCGTGCCGCGTCCGACCCTCGTCTGGAGAGGAGGGCCTTTGACCACCTTCAGATATATTTTTCACTTTGACAGATACCGTCTTCAAACTGCGAACATCTTAAGAGTGCCATTGTGGTGTGGTGTGTTTTTTCTCTCTCTCTCCTCCTCCTCTCTCTCTTCTTGAACTTTTGCTGCTTCATCCAAAGTGCTTGTGTGGGGGGGGGGGCGTGGGGTTGGTGGTGGGTTGAGTGGGATGGGTGGAGGGTGATTGTGGCGCATGATGAGCGTTGTTGAATGAAGACCGCGGGGAGGTTGAGCGGTGGGTTCCGTGTTTTAAGGGGGTTCGGCTGAGCGGCAGGACGAGTCAGTTTTGTTCTCCGTCCGCCACGACGATGGCCACCATCAGGACCGCCACGACGACGACGTGGAGACGAATCCGCGCCGCTCTTTGTCTGTTGCTCGCCGCCGCCGGCGGTCGCGGATTGGCGCAACGGGGACTCGGTAACACAAAAACACAAACACACAAAAACACCGATCCGCACGTTTTGATCGTAAGATGATTACGAAGGAGGGAAAATAATTACAACAAAAAAAACCACCGCCGAAGCTCGCTCGCTCGCTCGTCGCTCGCTGCGGCAACGGCGGGGAGAGGTCGTTGAAGAGACGAGTGACTGAAGCGGTAAAGTCTTTAACGTCCGTGTGACCGACTGAGTCAGAGAGCCGGGGGCGGCGGGGTTGGACTTTAACAAAGCAACGTTGACGACGTTACGTCCCACGTTGTTACCACGCGAGGACTCCTCCCTCCCCTAGAGCATCTGACGATGCAACGCGAGCGAAGCGGAAAGTGTTCAGCGAGCCTGACTCTGCCGATGAGAAGCGGCAACGCCGAAACCGGTGCAGGAGATTTGCTTGCTCGGAACAAATTCTACCACCGGGGGGAGTAACGCTCGCCTGGAGAGGCGACACGTGGAAGGGTAATCGACTCAAAGATAACTTGTGTGTGTGTGTGTCTGATGTCAGGGCAAGGTTGGCGTGCGCTTACGTAAACTCGGGACGTGTGTTGAACCGTCGGTCAGATCCATCGCCAGAGCTGGGGAGTGGAGACGGAGGGCATCTGACGGGAGATGGAGCAGCGAGCGGTGATGATGGAGTCACCCCCAGAGACGGATTCCTTTCCGAGACAGAGGGCAGCAGAGGCGGCGGTGAGGGTGGGTGGTCGGCAACACTCACCACTCGCTCACCACTCACTCACTCACCACTCACTCACCATTTACTCACCACTCATTTACTCACTCACCACTCACTCGCCACTTACTCACGCACCACTCACTAACCATTCACTCACCACTTATTTGCTCACTCACCACTCACTCACCATTTACTCACCACTCATTTACTCACTCACCACTCACTCACTCACCACTCATTTACTCACTCACCACTCACTCACCACTCATTCACTCACTCACCACTCACTCGCCACTTACTCACTCACCACCCACTCACCACTCACCCACTCACTCACCACTCACTCACAACTCACTCACTTACCACTCACTCACCACTCACTCACAATTCACTCACTCACCATTCACTCACCACTCATTTACTCACTCACCACTCACTCACAACTCACTTACTCACCACTCACTCACCACTCATTTACTCACTCACCACTCACTCACCACTCATTTACTCACTCACCACTCACTCGCCACTTACTCACTCACCACTCACTCACCACTCACTCACAGCTCACTGAACACTCACTCACCACTCACTCATTCACTCACCACTTACTCACTATTCACCACTCACTCACCACTCGCTCACTCACCACTCACTCACCACTAACTCACCACTCACTCACCAATCGGACGACAATCACCTACATACTCATCACTCGCTCCCTCACCAGACACTCACCGGATGTGCACAGGACACACACCGACACGTCACCCGGCGCACTCACCAATCAGCTGACACAATCACACTCGAACGCACGTGCTCATCGCTCACCACTCACCAGACACTCACCGGATATTGACACGACACTCAGCACTCACCAGGATACTCACCAAACACCACGCAGCAGAAACGATTCACGTTCACCTCCTGACACTCACCACCCACACTCACCACTGACAAGTCTGTGTATTATGTTAACTGCGCTCATGCACCACTGCCATCGCAGTAGCAACCGTAGCAGCAGCATCACCATGCCGTTTATCCCATGGGAAGACTCGCCCCCGCCATAGGAATGTGGACTTTCCCCACCACTGCCTACGCGGGGTTGTTAATGTGGAAAGGAAAGGAGGGGCAATGGGTCAATGATCATTTAGGCAGAAAATTATTTTCATTTGCCTCGCAACAGTGCGATGACCGTGGGTGGGGCATTAACATTGAGCTCATTTGGGAATATACTATTCACACGCCGATTTAAAAAAAACTATTAGTCAGAAAACATGTTTACTATTGAATTATCATCACTTTCCCCACGATGTAAACACGTGCAGTCTCCAACTCTTATCTCTCTAATCTCACTATCCCTCTACTTATGAACATTCGACTTACGAGCTTTCAGAGATGCAAACAAGCCTCGTCCATAGGTCCAGTTGCCTGTTCGGACCGAGAGTCGCAAGTTCAACCGCCGCGCAAGAGGTGGCGATGGTGGCGTCTACACCTGCAGAACGTGAAGAACCAGTGGCATCTACATCTACAGAGCATGAAGAACCAGTGGCATCTACATCTGCAGAATGTGAAGAACTAGTGGCATCTACATCTTCAGAACATGAATAACTAGTGGCATCTACACCTGCAGAATGTGAAGAACCAGTGGCATCTACATCTGCAGAATGTGAAGAACCAGTGGCATCTACATCTGCAGAATGTGAAGAACCAGTGGCATCTACATCTTCAGAACATGAATAACTAGTGGCATCTACACCTGCAGAATGTGAAGAACCAGTGGCATCTACACCTGCAGAATGTGAAGAACCAGTGGCATCTACATCTTCAGAACATGAAGAACCCATGGCATCTACATCTGCAGAATGTGAAGAACCAGTAGCATCTACATCTTCAGAACATGAAGAACGAGTTGCATCTACATCTGCAAAATGTGAAGAACCAGTGTCATATACATCTGCAGAATGTGAAGAACCAGTGGCATCTACATCTTCAGAACATGAAGAACCAGTAGCATCTACATCTGCAGAACATGAAAAACCAGTGGCATCTACATTTTCAGAATGTGAAGAACCAGTAGCATCTACATCTTCAGAAATTGAAGAACCAGTGGTATCTACATCTTCAGAACATGAAGAACCAGTGGCATCTACACCTGCAGAACATGAAAAACCAGTGGCATCTACATCTTCAGAACGTGAAGAACCAGTAGCATCTACATCTGCAGAATGTGAAAAACCAGTGGCATCTACATCTTCAGAACGTGAAGAACCAGTGGCATCTACATCTGCAGAATGTAAAGAACCAGTGGCATCTACATCTTCAGAACATGAAGAACCAGTAGCATCTACATCTGCAGAACATGAAAAACCAGTGGCATCTACATTTTTAGAATGTGAAGAACCAGTGGCATCTACATCTTCAGAAATTGAAGAACCAGTGGTATCTACATCTTCAGAATATGAAGAACCAGTGGCATCTACACCTGCAAAACATGAAAAACCAGTGGCATCTACATCTTCAGAACGTGAAGAACCAGTGGCATCTACATCTGCAGAATGTGAAAAACCAGTGGCATCTACATCTTCAGAACATGAATAACTAGTGGCATCTACACCTGCAGAATGTGAAGAACCAGTGGCATCTACATCTGAAGAACGTGAAGAACCAGTGGCATCTACACCTGCAGAATGTGAAGAACCAGTGGCATTTACATCTGTAGAACGTGAAGAACCAGTGGCATCTAGATCTGCATAACATGACGAACCAGTGGTATCTAGATCTGCAGAACGTGAAGAACCAGTGGCATCTACATCTGCAGAATGTGAAGAACCAGTGGTTTCTACATCTTCAGAACATGAAGAACCAGTGGCATCTACACCTGCAGAACATGAAAAACCAGTGGCATCTACATCTTCAGAACGCGAAGAACCAGTGGCATCTACATCTGCAGAATGTGAAAAACAAGTGGCATCTACATTCTCAGAACATGAATAACTAGTGGCATCTACACCTGCAGAATGTGAAGAACCAGTGGCATCTACATCTGTAGAACGTGAAGAACCAGTGGCATCTAGATCTGCATAACATGAAGAACCAGTGGCATCTACATCTACAGAACGTGAAGAACGAGTGGCGTCTACACCTGCAGAACTTGAAGAACCAGTGGCATCTACATCTACAGAGCATGAAGAACCAGTGGCATCTACATCTGCAGAATGTGAAGAACCAGTGGCATCTACATCTTCAGAACATGAAGAACCAGTGACATCTACATCTGCAGAATGTGAAGAACAAGTGGCATCTACATCTGCAGAATGTGAAAAACCAGTGGCATCTACATCTTCAGAACATGAATAACTAGTGGCATCTACACCTGCAGAATGTGAAGAACCAGTGGCATCTACATCTGAAGAACGTGAAGAACCAGTGGCATCTACACCTGCAGAATGTGAAGAACCAGTGGCATTTACATCTGTAGAACGTTAAAAACCAGTGGCATCTAGATCTGCATAAAATGAAGAACCAGTGGCATCTTGATCTGCAGAACGTGAAGAACCAGTGGCATCTACATCTGTAGAACGTGAAGAACCAGTGGCATCTACATCTATAGAACATGAAGAACCAGTGGCATCTACATCTATAGAACATGAAGAACCAGTGGCATCTACATCTATAGAACATGAAGAACCAGTGGCATCTACATCTGTAGAACGTGAAGAACCAGTGGCATCTACAGGAGATTATCCAACTTTTCCAGCCATTCCCCCATGTTTAGTGTACACGCCGTACAACACGTTTGGAGTCGACAGCAGTAATTGGTGGTCTTATGAACAAGTCGACTTACGAACAGACCTCTGGAACCTAACTCGTTCGCAAGTCGAGGAGCCCCTGGTACACGTTTTCATTTGAAGGGCCACCACACGTGGTGCTGTTGACGAACGAGTTGGGGTTGATTTGGGTGGCGGCAGTCATTATGATCGCTTGGAGTGCGCATTTGTGAGCCGGCAATGACAGCGATTGGTTTCCCTTCAAGGAGCAATCTCCTCGAAGGCTTATTTGACGGTGTTTCAAGTGCCCTCTGCCACCTGTATGAGACGGAGAGAGAGACTGATAGAGAACAGGTGGGCCAATGAAACGAAGACAAAGAGGACCCGTATAGTCGTTTAGAGTGTCGAGGTAAGTGCTTTTAGCAAGCGCCAATGCAGGACAGGACGGCACGCTCGGAGGTGGCTCGTCCAACACAACGCCCGGATGCCTTTTTCTCCCAGGCGACGATGTTTTACGCACCGCACCAGGGACTCATTTGATGCTGAGTCGACCTAGGGGAGGCCCAGGACCGGTTCAGATCATCGTAACTGGTGTTGGCTGTGAGCGGGAATCGAACCCGGGTCGCAGGGTTCATAGCGCAGCGTGCTAACCGCTACACTACCGCTCCCCCAGACAGACGAACAGACAGACTCGCAGTCAGTCAGCCACATACACAGATATACAGACAGACAGATATACAGACACACACACACAGACTCGCAGCCAGCCACACACACAGATATATACACACAGATATACAGACACACACACACACACAGACAGACTCGCAGCCAGACACACACACAGACATACACACAGACAGATATACAGACACACACACAGACAGACTCGCAGCCAGCCACACACACAGACATACACACATACAGATACACAGACACACACACAGACAGGCTCGCAGCCAGCCAGCCACACACACAGATATACACACAGACAGATATACACACTCACAGACAGACTCGAAGCCAGTCAGCCACATACACAGACATACAGACAGACATACAGACAGATTCGTAACCAGACACACACACATAGATACACACAGACAGACATACATACAGACATACACACAGACAGACAGATAGACAGACACACACACACAGACACACATACAGACAGACACACATACACACAGACAGACTTGCAGCCAGCCAGCCACACACACAGATAAACACACAGACATACACACAGACAAACACACAACAACAACAACCGCAATTCGCCACTAAGACGCTTGTGCCAGGCCATGTGCACCTTGAGGCCACGTGAAGTGTCGGACGCCCGTGGCCAGGAGGTCACGGGGCAGACCCAGGTGCCACGGGTTGACTGACTGAGATGACTGGCTGGTGCACCACCTGTGCCCCCTACTGTGCCAACCTGCTGTGCTTTAGCCACCCGGCGCTCCGCTCGTTGTTGTGAGCGTCGCTCCTCCGCCCTCCGTTGTTGTTGGAGGGCGACTACCTCCAACTGCCCAATAGCGTCCTTCACGAGCCTCCTCCACAGAGGCCGATCTTGACACCGCTGGTACCAGTCATCGGCAAGTCCACTCAGCTCCACGTCCTCCTGTACCACATCACTCCGTCTCTTCTCTAGCCCGTGCCGCGCCCGTTTAGCCCCCTCGATCCGGCCGAACAAAAGCTGTTTCGGCATGCGGGCTACATGACCCAGCCAACGCAGCCACCGATGGGACCGTGCCCAGATCTTTCCAGCCTGGTTAAACCCAGGATGGATCGTAGGCAGGCTAGCCTAAATGTTTCTAACCGGCGAAGGGGGGGTCCAGACACATACACAGACACACACACACACAGACAGATAGACAGACAACAAACAAAGACAAAGATCCCCCATATAGCCTTAACAGACTGTAGGGGCAAGTGCTGTTAGCGAGCACCTATGAAGGCCGGAACGGTACACGAGGGGGTGGGTGGCCAGCACCACGCCCGACCGCCTTTGTCTCCCTAGTGGCAATGTTTACACACCGCACCAGGTACTCATTTGAGGCTGAGTCGATCTAGGGGAGGCCCGGGACCGGTTCAGATAATCGTCACTGGTGTTGGCCGTGAGCGGGAATCGAACCCGTGTCGCCGGGTTCATAGCGCAGCGCGCTAACCGCTACACTATCGCTCCCCACCAGACAGATAGACAGACACACACACAGACATACACAGACACACACAGACAGATAGACACACACACAGACAAACACACAGACACGCGCTCACTCTTAAGGCAAGATTAAAAGTAGGTTTTGTGGACGCAGCCCGGTTCATCTCGGCACCGAGAGCCGCTCGTGTTGTACCTGTGTGTGTGTGTGTCTGTGTGTCTGTCTGTGTGTGTGTGTCTGTCTCTGTTTGTGTGGCTGGCTGGCTGGCTGCGAGTATGTGTGTCTGTGTGTGTGTCTGTATGTGTGTCTGTGTGTGTGTCTGTGTGTGTCTGTGTGTGTGTCTGTGTGTGTGTCTGTGTGTCTGTCTCTGTGTGTTGTGCCTGTATGTGTGTGTGTCTGTGTGTCTGTCTCTGTGTGTGTGTCTGTCTCTGTTTGTGTGGCTGGCTGGCTGGCTGCGAGTATGTGTGTCTGTGTGTGTCTGTGTGTGTGTGTGTCTGTGTGTCTGTCTGTGTGTGTGTCTGTCTCTGTTTGTGTGGCTGGCTGGCTGCGAGTATCTGTGTCTGTGTGTGTGTCTGTGTGTGTGTGTCTGTGTGTGTGTCTCTGTGTGTGTGTCTGTCTCTGTTTGTGTGGCTGGCTGGCTGGCTGCGAGTATGTGTGTCTGTGTATGTGTCTGTGTGTGTGTGTCTGTGTGTGTGTCTCTGTGTGTGTGTCTGTCTCTGTTTGTGTGGCTGGCTGGCTGGCTGCGAGTATGTGTGTCTGTGTGTGTGTCTGTGTGTGTCTGTATGTGTGTCTGTGTGTGTGTGTGTCTGTGTGTGTGTCTGTGTGTGTGTGTGTGTGTCTGTATGTGTGTCTGTGTGTGTCTGTATGTGTGTGTCTGTGCGTGTGTCTGTGTGTGTGTCTCTGTGTGTGTCTGTGTGTGTGTGTCTGTGTGTCTGTGTGTGTCTGTGTGTGTGTCTGTGTGTGTGTGTGTCTGTGTGTCTGTGTGTGTGTGTCTGTGCTCCGTGGAGACCGCTGGGGAAGCCTTGCGCAATCCGCACCCACGTGGTTTGTGGGAGCGGCGGTGCAGCGGTTAGCGCTACGCTGCGCTACGAACCCGGCCTCCCGAGTTCGATTCCTGCTCACGACCGCCAACACCCAGTGACGATTATCTGAACCGGTCTTTGACCTCACCTAGGTCGACTCAGCCTCAAATTAATACCTGGTGCGGTGTGTAAACATCGCCACTGGGGGAGACAAAGGCGGCCGGGCGTGGTTATGGTCACCCACCTCCTCGTGTGCCGTGCCGACCGTCATAGGTGCTCGCTAACAGCACTTGCCCCTACAGTCTGTTAAGGCTATACGGGGGATCTTTGTCTTTGCTCCGTGGAGACTGCTGTGTGTGCCTTGCACATTCCGCAACCCAAGTGGTTTGTGCCACAGCCGTTAACATTTCCCTCCTCCAATCAATATTTGGTTTTATTCTCCCCACGAACTTTTGTTTAAGTTATTTTACTTTCCACTCCAACGTTGTTGCTCTCGCTGTCGGCTCAAGGGGTCGAAGCGCCTCCATGCGGAGCTGTAGCCCAGGCAGTGCATCCACCCGGACGACCCGCAGAAGTAGATATCAGAGAACGAGTTCTGTACAACAACGTGATGTTCTCTTTTTTCACATACGTATATATATTTGTGTGTGTGTGAGGCGCTAGCTCTTCACTGCACAGCATTTCACGGCGCTCTCTATTGAGACTGCAGAAGGAATATGATGAGCATTGAAGCTCTCGTTCGCGGATGTCCCGTAGGGGACGCGGGAGGTCAGCGAGTCATCCTCGTCGCCACGGTCCATCCGCTGCTGGATGAAGCCTCTCCGCAAGCCCGTCGCCACCCCCTCGCGATCGCTGCGATGCAGCAAACATACCACCCAGGAGCCGCCTTGCACGCGAACTGAATTCCATCGCTCCATCTCCCACGGCGGGCGTCATTCTTTCTCGGAACCGCTCCGTAGTTAATCTGAAACTAAACTTTTTAATTTTTATTTTACCAGGTAAGGCCCACTGAGCTGTTCAGTTATTTTTCAGAAGCGAACTGGCCACAAATGATAGCTAAACGAAGCGGCTTATTTATCATCACGTGGAAATGTAATGGAAAGCAGTGGCCAAATACTGCAAACGCACCATGTCGATTCTGAATGTGGAGGGGAAAACCGGAGAACCCGTACAAAAATCCACGTGACCACCACGGGGAGATAGAGAGAGACACGGAAACTCCAAATATACAGCAGCAGAACGTCAGCGTCGGGTTCGAAGCTACGACCTCCTGCATACCAGGCGAGGTAGTTAACATCTCCTAGCCACCGTGGCACCCCGTTTTTTACTCTCCACCATCGTCTATCGTCCATTCTAGCCATCGTGACGCGTCCTGGACAAGTCCACTCGATACCTGTGTCGATTAACAGCGTTGGATGATGGCATAATTCGTTGTTAAAACGAGGGGACTCGCAGGAATTTCAGTGTGAACTTTGTATTGAATGGAGCTTGCCTGTGTGATCGTGGCGACGCAAGCATGGAATTAGTCTGAAAGACGTAGCGAGACGGTGCTGTTTGTTGCGGGCCGCTGGACGTTTTGGGCACCTGTGCTCGGAAACTGTTTGAAATAAAAGTGCTGCTGATGGTGGTGATAGTGACATTGTGGATACTAATGATGGTGCTGATGGTGATGATGGTGAGTGTCATTTTGGATAATAATGATGGTGCTGCTGCTGATGATGGTGATAGTGGCATTGTTGTTGATCGTGCTGATTATAACGATGATGGTGTCGTTGTTGATGATGATGGTGCTGATAACGATGATGGTGTCGTTGATGATGATGATGTTGATAATGATGATGGTGGTGACGCAGGTTTGCCGGGAGACCTGGGGATGCGTGTTCTCTGCGGGAGTGACGGAGTCGAGTTGCGTGTGGAACCGAGTTTCTTCCTGAAACGTGGAATCCAGGTGATTGATGATGACGATGATGATGAATGTTGACATTGGATGTACGTGTGATAATAATGATAAATATGATCGTGACGGCGAATGTTTTCCATCAAGTATCTGTAATCGCGATGATTAATTGATTATGGTGATGAGTGTCATGACATATCACGATGATAATAACTTGATGGAGACGATGAGTATATTTGATGATGATGATGCATTGATGATGGCAATAATGAGTGTTCGTGATGATTATTAATTGATTATTAAAACGCTTGTGATGATCAATTGATGATTATGAGTGTGTGTGTGACCATGATGGTGATTACATGATTATTATGTTGACGATGATATCGATGATTATTATGTTGATGATGGTGGCGATGATGGTGTTGATGCGATTTACGATGACGTTAATGATGATGATGTTTGTGTTGACAGTGTCGGTGATGATGGTGTCGGTGACGATGATGAAAACGATGATGACTATGACGATGTTGATGGTGGTGATGATAATAGTGTTGATTCGATTTACTATGACGTTCATGATGTTGTTTGTGTTGACAGTGTCGGTGATGATGGTGTCGATGACGACAATGAAAACGATGATGACGATGATGATGATGGTGACGATAGTGTTGATGCGATTTACGATAACTTTAATGATGACGTTCATGATGATGTTTGTGTTTACGATGTTGATGATGATGATGATGGTGACGATAGTGTTGATGCGATTTACAATGACGTTAATGATGATGTTGATGATGATGTTTGTGTTGACGGTGTCGGTGACGATGGTGTCGATGACGACGACGAAGTGAAAGATGATGACGGTGACGACGTTGTCCTCTTCAGCTGCCCGATCTGCACTTGAACGATCGTCGTTGTGGGGGGGTGGCGCTATGGGGGGCGGGTGGAGGAGGGGAGGGGGGAGAGGGGGCCGAGGGATCAGAGGAGGGGGCCGGCGGACCACGCTCGTGGCTGTTCCGCACCGACTCCCTCATGGGCTGCGGCACCCGCGTCACGGTGAGAGGCACAGACGCACGGGCGCACATTTAGAGGCACGCACGCGTACGCATAGCGCAGCGGGTTTTCATTGTGTCGTGTTGACGATTCGGAGACGAGGTTTGTAGGAGGGCACCCTTCTTTTATTTAGAACATCCACGGTCTCGTCCGCATTCTCTTCACGGTCGCTTGGCCTGTACACGACACGAGCCGTCCAACACTGACGGCGCTGACTGAGACAGCCACCACCAACAACAATCCTGCAGCGCAGTGTCTAGCGGAGACAGCAGCGACGACGAGACGAGTCCACTCCCAGAAACCGGCAGCCTCAAGCCCCCCCCGCCCCCCTCCCCCGCTCTCGGCTCATTTTTCATACTCCCAGCGCGGCGCTGGCTCCGCCGCGTCCCTTCTCGAACCCGCCAGCAGGTTCCAGGGGCCTCCTCCTCCGGACGGGTTCCTCCGCGACCCTCGCCCCGGTTCCTCCGCCCTGCCCACACTCCCCACGTGCACGCGCTCAGCCGCCGCGTGCCGCCGGCTGTCCACCGCAGCTGGCCGCTGCTGGCCACCAGCCGGCGCTATCACACTACAATTGCATGGCCCCCCGCGAGTCACTGTCGGTCGCTGGTGGCTTTTAGTGCGGCCCCCCCCCCCCGGACACAATTACGCAAAGAGTGAAAACACCGCCCACATCATCATCATCGTCATCATCGTGCTGCTGGCAAACCCCCAATGGTTTCAAAATATGTGGCGGCGGTCTGACGCCGATGTCTTGTAACTCCCCGCCTCGGAAAAAAATCGTAAAGAACACTGGCCTCGCCAGAGGCTCGCAGAGGCAAAGATCGCCCGGATAGCCTTTAACGGGCTGTCAGGGCAAGTGCTCGTGAGCGGGTATCTATGAAGGCCGACACGGCACGCGAGGGTGTGGGTGGCCAGCAACAGGCCCTGCCCGGCCGCCTTTGTATCTCTCGTGACGATGTTTTCAGGCACACAGAGACACGCATTGCTTATGATGCTGCGGCTGCTGCTGTCGTCTGTTATTGTGATGATGTGTCGCGTTTGTTTGTGTCTGCCGTTTGTTGTTATTGCTGTTTATCGATGTTGTTAATTACGTTAATATTTGTTATTGTTCGTTGTTGTTACGCTGTTTGTTGTTAGTTATTTATTATATTGTTATTATCTGTTGTTGTTGTTCGTTATTATTGTCATTCGTTGTACGCTGTGTGTTGTTGTGATTTATTATGATGTTGTTATTTATCGCTAGGCCTCGGCAAGGTAATTTACCTTTTTAACCGGGTAAAAGGGTAAAGATAAAGGGTAAAGATGTCGACATGCCAAGGGGTAAGGTAAAGGGTAGTAGGGTAAAGTAGCTCTGAAGAATTACCCGGTAAGGTAAAGGTAGCGCGAAGAATTACCTGGTAAATACGGTGCCTTGTTTACCGCTAAAAGCTCCTTGGCGCAGTCCATGGCCTCCATTTAATAAGTAATATTTTTTTTAAACTTTTAAAAACACGCTTTAATGAAATGTACCGCACTAGTAATGGCAGAACTCCACGAGTCCAGGAAGTGGCCCCGAAGCTTGCCACAACGTAAGGGGACCGTGGGCAATTACAGCCAACGTCAGTTTACCGTGGACAATTAGACCCAAGCGGAACATAACATATAAAAAATAATGTTTACAAATATTTATTTTAATGATAGAATATCGTATTGTCATCAGTATGACATAAGTATAACAAGTGTGCAGTCGATACCACATTGGGAAGTGGGTTAAAATTGAGTTACAAGATTTGAGGATACAACAACGACAACAACAACAGACAGTGAGTTTAAAGAAAGCGTGCAAAATTGGAATCATCGAGAGTATTCTAGATGAATAAAGCGCTCTACCTAGCATTTACCTGTTAGAAACCTTGTTCATGCGTAGTACCCCAGCAATTACTACCCTGTAATCGGGTAATTTGTATAGGGTAAGGGTAAAAGGTAGGGTAAAGGTAGGCTCATTGCTTTTTACCTTTTACCTCTTACCTTACCTGCTGAAGGGTAAAAGGTAGGGTAGAGTCATTGTATTGTGGTAAGGTAAAAGATAGGGTAAAGGTAGGCTCGTTATTTTTAACCTTTTACCTTACCTTTACCCTACCTTTTGCCTTACCACAATACAATCACTCTACCCTACCTTTTACCCTATTTATCGCTGTTGTTTATTGTTGCTGTCCGCAGCGCTCCGAGTCGCTCATCAGCTACAGCAACGCGCTGCGCTACACGGAGCGGCGCTCGCCAGTGCTGCGCTACGCGCTGCAACTCAACTACACGTGCACCTACCCCGCGGCCATCATCGCCAGCCTGCCGGGAGACCTGCACCCCGAGCTCACGTGAGCCCCCGCCCCACATACCCCCCTAGCCCCCCACACACAGAGCCCCCCATACCCCCCTAGCCTCCCACTCACAGAGCCCCACATACCCCCCTAGCCCCCCACACACAGAGCCCCCCATACCCCCCTAGCCCCCCACACACAGACCCCCCCATACCCCCCTAGCCTCCCACACAGAGCCCCACATACCCCCTAGCTCCAAACACAGACCCCCCCCATACCCCCCTAGCCTCCCACACAGAGCCCCCCATACCCCCTAGCCTCCCACACAGAACCCCACATACCCGCCTAGCCCCCCACTCACAGAGCCCCCCCATACCCCGTAGCCCGCCACTCATAGAGCCCCCCCATACCCCCTAGCTCCAAACACACAGAGTCCCCACATACCCCCCTAGCTGCAAATACACAGAACCCCCAAATACCCCCCTAGCCCCCCACTCACAGAGCCCCCCCATACCCCCTAGCCCACCACACACACAAACTCCCCCCCCCCATATTTCCTAACCTCCCACACACAGACCCCCCCCCATACCCCATAGCCCCCGTACCCCCTAGCTGTCCACAACCTCCTACCCCCAAGACCCCCACACACCTCCCCATACGTGTATACCTGACGTGGCGTGCCGGGTGGAGGTGGAGCTGTCCGGCTCGGTGGTGCTGGTCGCCTCGCTACTGCTGCTGCTGTCATAGCGATATGTCGCGGTGGATACTCGACGTGGCGTGCCGCATGTCCATCACAGCCAGGTGGAGGTGGAGCTGTCCACATCGGGGCTGCTGGTCGCCTCGCTGCTGCTGCTGCTGTCATAGCGAGATGTCGCGCTGGATACTCGACGTGGCGTGCCGCATGTCCATCACAGCCAGGTGGAGGTGGAGCTGTCCGCATCGGGGGTGCTGGTCGCCTCGCTGCTGCTGCTGCTGCTGTCATAGCGAGATGTCGCGGTGGATACTCGACGTGGCGTGCCGCATGTCCATCACAGCCAGGTGGAGGTGGAGCTGTCCGCATCGGGGGTGCTGGTCGCCTCGCTGCTGCTGCTGCTGTCATAGCGAGATGTCGCGCTGGATACTCGACGTGGCGTGCCGCATGTCCATCACAGCCAGGTGGAGGTGGAGCTGTCCGCATCGGGGGTGCTGGTCGCCTCGCTGCTGCTGCTGCTGTCATAGCGAGATGTCGCGCTGGATACTCGACGTGGCGTGCCGCATGTCCATCACAGCCAGGTGGAGGTGGAGCTGTCCGCATCGGGGGTGCTGGTCGCCTCGCTGCTGCTGCTGCTGTCGTAGCGAGATGTCGCGGTGGATACTCGACGTGGCGTGCCGCATGTCCATCACAGCCAGGTGGAGGTGGAGCTGTCCGCATCGGGGGTGCTGGTCGCCTCGCTACTGCTGCTCGCCTCCCCGGACATCGCGGACCCCGTGCGTGGCGCCCTGCGCCTGCGCACCGCCGAGTCGCTCTTCGTGGGCGCGCGGCTCCACAACGACTCGGCGACGCTGGCGCTGCTCCTCGAGTCGTGCTGGGCGAGCGCGAGCCCAGAGCCGCGGCGAGGGACCCCCTACCCCCTCATCGGCCCACCGGGGTGAGGCAGGCGACGACGACGACGACGATGATGATGATGATGTTGATGATGATAATGCCTGAGCGTACAGATCTTAAAACTAACAAACAACAACAACTTTGATTTAAAGCTTTCGTGACTGCAGTGATTTATATTCTTGGTTCTTTCGGTGAAGTCACGTTGAAGGGAAACAATAAAATAATAAAATATATATTTCATTGTTTCCCTTCAACGTGACTTTACCGAAAGAACCAAGAATAACAACAACAACCTTACCTGTTTTAGTCTTGCGTTTACAGATACACATTCAAACAGTCTCACAACATTTATGGCCTTAGATTCACCCAAGTGTTCTAATAATAATAATTGTATTTTATATTGCGCCATGCATGTTAATTGCATCCCATAACGAACAAATCCTGCATACAGCTACTGCCATGTGACTGAAACCCCATAGTGCCAAGCAAATAAACAAAAATGCGTAACCAAATAAATTAATGGCGCCAAAGCAAAAGGCAAACAACAGAAAAAGTTGTCACAAGAGATCAATCAGTCGACTTCGGTCTACACATCCCAAACCACAATCACCAACTTCTCAACCAAGCCAACGGACCTTCACAGGAGGGGCGATCATTATTCGCATTATTATCATTATCATTGATCCAGGGGTCGTAAAATCTGCGACTTGGGAACCGCACGGGGCTCTTCAAGGATGTGCTTCGTGACGTTCCACCGTCTGGTATTCACCACAGTGCATTGTGGCTCTTGATATATCGAAGTTTTATTTGAGCAAATTCCTTTGTTATTTTTGGTTGGAGACCACCTCCCTGCGTTGATCCAATTGGAAGGGTTGAAACGTTCCAGCGAAGAATGGTAACTTACGAACGGGCGGGCCTTGGCTTAAAAAAATACGTGTCCCTTAAATTGTTTGGATGTATTATGTCTTGAAGCGCTGTCGTCCCGACAGTTCTGTTCCTTCACCTGAAGAAGGCTACTTGTGTTGTGGCCGAAACGTCGTGAGACGAAAGCTTTAAATCGAGATGCATTATGTGTGTGTTGAATTAACTTTCGCATTGCTCTGAGCCAACCGCGCATATCGGAGGTGCGGGGGGCAGGATAACAAACAAAACACAAACATAAGTATTAAAGAAGTGAGTTTGTCAATCGAGATTATTTAAAATTGCATGGCTCCAGTTGCTGTCTAATATCGGAAGGAAGAGGGGGTACCAGACGTCCGCAGACGCGCATCCGAACGCGCGTGGTGCAGTGATCGTCCTTTGCTCGATGGTCAGCCAAAAGCCACTGCTGCTGCTGCTGCTGCTGTGAGGATGAATTAAACGAAAGACCGCGTCGACCGATTAATCGTCTGACCCCGTCGGGGGAGGCAGGGGGTGCGGGACTACCGTGGGGCACGTGTCACGTGTGTGTGCGTGCGGGGAGCGGTGGCGCAGCGGTTAGCGCTACGCTGCGCCACGAACCCGGCGACCCGAGTTCGATTCCCGCTCACGGCCAACACCGGTGACGATTATGCGAACCGGTCCTGGGCCTCCCCTAGGTCGACTCCACCTGAATTGAGTACCTGTTGGCGGTGTGCAAACATCGCCGCTGGGGACACAACGGCGGCCGGGGGTGGTGTCGGCCACCCACTCCCCTCGTGCGCCTGTACCGGCCTTCAAAGGCGCTCGCTAACAGCACTTGCCCCGGCAGTCTGGTTAAAGGCTATACGGGGGATCTTTGTCTTTGGTGTTGACGCCAGCTGCCCGGTCGAGGAGTCGGTGGCCATCCACCAGGGCAACGGGGTGAACACGAGCGCCGTGTTCAGCGTCAAGGTGTTCACGATCATCGACGCCGACTCCGTCTACATCCACTGCCAACTCGGCATCTGCGCGGGCTTCTGCGCTCCGGTACGAACTGCTGCGGTTTAAACCAAAATATATCTATTTAGGAGGTGGGGGGAGAGGGGGGGCTAGTCCCGAGATTCCTTCAAATGACCTCTGGGTTTGCAGTGATCTCTGGAATCGAGGGCGGTTAAATTCCCACCTTTGGAGTGGCTGGAAACGAGAGGGTCGATTGCGAGGCACGCTTGTGCTCGCCGAGGCTATTTCTGAGCGGCGCAACTCATCGGCGTCGTGGAGAAGGACCCCAAGAACGTGGATATCGCCGAGTTACCTCTGTCTGGGACACGTGGTCCACGCGACAGAGAGAGCTGCCGCTCTGAGATACGAGGGTAACGTTGAGCGCATGACAGTCCAAAGCAAATATTTTCATTCTGAGAGCTGGAACTTAGCCGAAGGAAACGGCTGCAGAGGTAATATCACAGCTAGATATTGACTGCCGCACAACGTCCACGACACCGTCAATGCCTCTTGCCTCGTTCACCTGCAACGCGGCCTCGTTTCTTCCCGCCGCGTCTGATTGGTGCGCTCTGCTCCAATAGGATTGCGACGGCGTGGCCGAGGCCCAGGGTTCGGAGCCCAGGAGCGGCGTTCAGGGCCACCGCGTGCTGTCGTCGCGGCGGATAGAGAGAGTCCAGTCCGACGAGTCCGACTCCATGCCTGAAGGTAGGTTTGATCGAGAGAGAGAGTCCAGTCCGACGAGTCCGACTCCATGCCTGAAGGTAGGTTTGATCGAGAGAGAGTCCAGTCCGAGGAGTCCGACTCCATGCCTCAAGGTAGGTTTGATCGAGAGAGAGTCCAGTCCGACGAGTCTGACTCCATGCCTGAAGGTAGGTTTGATCGAGAGAGAGTCCAGTCCGAGGAGTCCGACTCCATGCCTGAAGGTAGGTTTGATCGAGAGAGAGTCCAGTCCGAGGAGTCCGACTCCATGCCTGAAGGTAGGTTTGATCGAGAGAGAGTCCAGTCCGACGAGTCCGACTCCATGCCTGAAGGTAGGTTTGATCGAGAGAGAGTCCAGTCCGACGAGTCCGACTCCATGCCTGAAGGTAGGTTTGATCGAGAGAGAGTCCAGTCCGACGAGTCCGACTCCATGCCTGAAGGTAGGTTTGATCGAGAGAGAGTCTAGTCCGACGAGTCCGACTCCATGCCTGAAGGTAGGTTTGATCGAGAGAGTCCAGTCCGACAAGTCCGACTCCATGGCTGAAGGTAGGTTTGATCGAGAGAGAGTCCAGTCCGACGAGTCTGACTCCATGCCTGAAGGTAGGTTTGATCGAGAGAGAGTCCAGTCCGACGAGTCCGACTCCATGCCTGAAGGTAGGTTTGATCGAGAGAGAGTTCAGTCCGACGAGTCCGACTCCATGCCTGAAGGTAGGTTTGATCGAGAGAGAGTTCAGTCCGACGAGTCCGACTCCATGCCTCAAGGTAGGTTTGATCGAGAGAGAGTCCAGTCCGACGAGTCCGACTCCATGCCTGAAGGTAGGTTTGATCGAGAGAGAGTCCAGTCCGACGAGTCCGACTCCATGCCTCAAGGTAGGTTTGACCCAATCTGGCTTCCACAGCAGCAGCAATCGCCATAAGCCATGGTCATTCCGCTGCTAGATGAAGTCCTTCCCCGTATCCCAAGCTTGTGCACTTTCCTCTAAACCACGTGCTCGTTGTGAATTGCCGTGTTTCCAATCACGCTTTCTACTCACGGGTTATTTGTCGGTTCGATTGAGTGGTGGCGCCGTGATTAGCGCACTCCGCTACAAATCCATGACATGCATGTACGTTGAACTTCTTTCGCACCATACGTACCCCCAACCCCCCCCCCCCCCCCCCATTAGCACGGTGCCCGACCGCTTTACCAACCCGCACTGACCTACATGGTGAAGTATGGCGAATCCGTCGATATGCCGGGCGGTGTCGGCTATGCACGTGGCTGGCTGTAATCGAGCACCGTGGAGGCGTCGGCGAGGGTTGGCGGATCACCGTACAGATAGTTGTGAAACTCCCTTCCCGTGGGTAGTCAAGGGGGAAGGAGCCGTACCCCCCGTGGGTAGTCAAGGGGGAAGGAGCCGTACCCCCCCCCCCCTCACTCGCCAGGGGAAGGCGGCACAGCAAAGGAGCGATCCCCATCTGTCCACCTGTGCGGGATAGAGCGTTGCCCCCTCGCTCATTCGCTCGCTCGCACGCTTGTGTTTGGATTGTTTGGCGACTATAAATTTCCTGCATGTGATGGGCCACTTCGGCGAGCTATCATCGCGTTATGTGGCCGGGTCGCCTCTGCAAAATAACTCAATAGCTCAGTGGGCTTTAGCTGATAAATACAATACTTACGTTTAGTTTCTCGGGGTACGCCAGTTTCCACCCACATATAAACACCCATTATTGGATGAAAACACCTTAACACATATATATAGAACAGCAGAACTTGGGCAATGGTTGGTAGCGCCGGCACATCACCGCCGCGTGGTTCCTCCTCTGAGCCTTCCTCTCTCTCTCTCTGAGTCGTCCCCTCTCTCTCTTTTTGTACAATCATAGGAAACAAGAAGATGCTCGGTTTAGTCGGCACTTTGCTTGTGTTTTCCATTGCTTTGCTTTATGTGCTCCCCCCCCCCCCCCTACTTTTTGAATGGAAGATTGTACGTGTTTACCATTGTGCAACAAAATTAATCTGTGCTACTTTCTTCGTAGACACAAACATCAAGATGAAGAATCACGCTCTGCTCCTCCTCCTTACCCCTTCCCTCTCTCTCTACCCCCCTCTCTCTCTACCCCCTCTCTCTACCCTCTCTCTCTCTCTACCCCCTCTCTCTACCCCCTCTCTCTCTACCCCCTCTCTCTACCCTCTCTCTCTCTCTACCCCCTCTCTCTCTACCCCCTCTTGCCCTACTCTCTCTCTCTGTTCCCCCGGTTTTCTATGTCGTCCTCTCTCTCTGTGAGTCGTCCTCTCTCTGAGTCGTCCTCTCTCTCTGAGTCGTCCTCTCTCTCTCTGAGTCGTCCTCTCTCTCTCTCTGAGTCATCCTCTCTCTCTCTCTGAGTCGTCCTCTCTCTCTCTGAGTCGTCCTCTCTCTCTGTGAGTCGTCCTCTCTCTGAGTCGTCCTCTCTCTCTGAGTCGTCCTCTCTCTCTCTGAGTCGTCCTCTCTCTCTCTCTGAGTCGTCCTCTCTCTCTCTGAGTCATCCTCTCTCTCTGAGTCGTCCTATCTCTCTCTGAGTCGTCCTCTCTCTCTGAGTCGTCCTCTCTCTCTGAGTTGTCCTTTCTCTCCCTCTGAGTCGTCCTCTCTCTCTCTGAGTCGTCCTCTCTCTCTGAGTCGTCCTCTCTCTCCCTCTGAGTCGTCCTCTTTCCCCGTCTCTTCAAGAGCGAGCGGATACTGTGCGACCGCTGCACGGCGTTACAAGTCGACGTGGTGATGATGATTATTATTATTACATCACAATCAGTATGCTACCTGTAGAGATGTCCCAGTACGATGCTGGGTAAGACCAGGACACCGCAGGTAGCGACAATCCGAGCAGCAACAGCAGCAGGAGTGAGTGCGCACGTGTCCCCCCTCGTGCTGCGCCCAGATGACTCCTCTCCCGCCTCCTCCTCCAACTTTCTGGGATTGCTGGCACTGGGGGGCGGCATCGCCCTGGTGCTGTGCGCCGTGGGCGCCTTCCTCGTCACGGCGTGGCGCGCGAGGGCACGCGGGAGCGAGCGCGATCCCCAGTGGCGGCAGCTGGGTCGGCGAGGGGTGGGAGGAGGAGATGGAGGGTGGGGGAGCGGAGGGTTCTACCCTGGGCGCGACAACCCCGTGTTTACCGCGGGGACTTGGCGCATCCCTCGCCCGCAGATCGTGACGGAGTGAGCGGCGCGTGGGGGTGGTGGCAGTGGTGGTGGGGTGGACGCGTGGTACATACTAGTATTGATCATTTAGACACACCACACTGATCATATAGACACACCACACACACGCTGATCATAGAGACAAACACTACACACACATATGCTGATCATATAGATACTCACATTGATCATATAGACACTCACATTGATCATATAGACACACACACTGATCATATAGACACACATATACTGATCATATAGACACACACACTGATCATATAGACACACACATTGATGATATAGACACACCACGCACACTTATCGTAGAAATATATACACACACGCACACACAACAGACACACACAGACTACATACACTCACACACATCACACACACAGAGACTACACACACTCACACACATCACACACACACAGACTACACACACTCACACACATCACACACACACAGACTACACACACTCACACACATCACACACAGACTACACGCACTCACACACATCACACACACACAGACTACACACACTCACACACATCACACACACACACAGACTACACACACTCACACACATCACACACACACGTGGCACAGGGGACAAAAAATGATGACAATAAATCAAATCACACACCGTTCATTCATTCAGCCACTGGAACTCGGATTTTCCGCATTGACCACCGTGGTGAAGTATGGTCAAAAAACCCCTACGGACAACATAAGTCTTCATCCAGCAGTGGATTGCTAATGGAGCTGTGCATTATCACTTTTTATTTCTGCTGTATTGTCTTCATAGCATTGCAATAACATGACTCCAATACTATGAACTATATATTAACTATCGTTATATCTTGACTTAAAGCTTTCGTGACTGCAGGAATTCGTATTCTTTGTGTTTTTTCGGTAAAGTCACGTAGATAGGTTGAAAGAAAATAACAAAAAAAACAACGACGTTTCGATCACACCACGAGCGATCGTCATCAGGAGGACGATCGCTCGTGTTGTGATCGAAACGTCGTAGTTTTTGTTAGTTTATTTTTACTTTAAACCTATCTACGTGACTTTACCGAAAGACGCAAAGAAAGCTATCGCTACTTTAGCAGGCAAGGCCCACTGAGCCGTGTAGCTCTGTTTCAGAAGCGACCTGGCCACAAATGACAGCTCAACGAAGTGGCTCATCGCGTGGATATTCCTCGCAGCCAAATGCTATAGACCCATGTTTCTAAATTCCATGCGACCACGGGGGGATCATGCAAACTCCAAATAGAGAAATCGAACCCACGACCTCCTGTATACCAGGCAAGGTAGTTAACGACCTTGCCGTGAAGTGGCTTATTTATCATCACGTGGACTTTTATAGCAGCCAAATACTCTAAACGCGTGACGTTGATTCTAAAATGTGGAGAGAAAAACGGGAGGGCCTTGCAGAAAAAAATCCACGCGACCACCACGGTGAGAGAGAGACACCGCAAATTCCAAATACACAGCAGGCGTCATGGTCGGGATCGAACCCACGACCTCCTGCGTACCAGGCAAGGTTGTTAACATCTCTTGCCACGACTTGAAATAGGTCTCTATAGTTACAATTGCACCAGTGGGAAGCATCAACGTTCCGTATTGTCATACATTCATGATTTTTTTTTCCACCCTCGTACAACAACCGTGTTGATGGGTGTTGAGAATAACACGCGGCGTGTTGTTATTGAGATCCAGGGCTTAAATCCTCGCTGAATTCTCTGTTTCTGTGCGTGTGCTTGTGTCGCTGGTACACCTGGCTTAGTATAGGTAGCCACAGCCACAGCGGGAGAGGTATCCTGGATGTGGTTAGCCGGGTGTGAACAATGTGAATATGCTTGGAGTGTGCATTTCTTCTCGATGTGCGTTTGCTAATCAAATATATACCGCGTGCCTTGTTGTGTGATCATTTGTAGCTAGTGTACGGATGAAACGCCAAATGAAAGTGTCTCCATACACACCAATCTTGTCTACTATTAATCATTATTCGTCCGGTGTGCGTTTGTTGCCAAGTCCACGCTCCTATGACGGGGTCCGGATGTCAGATACTGTTTATGAATGTTTAGTCAGAGATGAGATGGTAAGAGTTCAAACCAGTTGGTTTTGTGGGTGTGGGGGGAAGGGCGTCCGGATGACAGATACTCTCTTCGAATGTGTGCTTAGATGAGGTGTTTCAAAGTAATAGTTATTGGGGGGAACAAAAACTGTTCTTACAGTCCTTGTTTTACACCATCTGTTAATAGGAGGAGCAATTTAACGTGGCCATAAAAAAACATTGTGGCACTCAGGATTGATGATCATGATGACGATGGCGATGATGATGATGATGACGACGATGATGACGACCATGATGATGGCGATGATGATGATGATGACGATGATGATGATGATGACGATGATGACGATGATGATGACGACGATGATAACGACCATGATGATGGCAATGACGATGATGATGACGATGATGATGACGACGATGATGATGACGACGATGATGACGACGACCATGATGATGGCGATGATGATGATGACGATGATGATGACGACGATGATGACGACGACCATGATGATGGCAATGACGACGATGATGATGACGATGATGACGACCATGATGGCGATGATGACGATGATGATGACGACGATGATGACGACGACCATGATGATGGCAATGATGACGATGATGATGACGATGATGACGACGATGATGACGACGACCATGATGATGGCAATGACGATGATGATGACGACGACGATGATGACGACCATGATGATGGCGATGATGACGATGATGATGACGACAATGATGATGACGATGATGATGACGATGATTATGAGGATGATGATGGCCATCACTATCAAATAGTGGTAATTATGCTTTTCATTACGACATATTGTTCATGATGGTGATTGATGATGGTGATGCTGCTGATGACGCTTGATATCTGTTGATAAGAACCACCACTTTCGATGATGACGGTTTTACTAATTTTACGACATTTTGCACTATTGATTGATGCTGTCCGTGTCTTATATAGATGTATAAATCGCTTAATGCCAAGGCGATTTACAATTAATTATTGCTGCTGATACCGATCATCATTATAGTCATCACCATCATATGAATCACATACGACCACAGTCACCGCAAACTGTTGAGTTAAAGTTGTGTTCCGTCTCAGCTCTTCGCTGATAATGGCCACTCGTTTATAAATCTTGGGCTGACTGATTGATTTACTTAATTTTGATGATTCAATTCCCCACTCGTGACGCAATCACCACTCATTTCTTTAGAACCTCCGACCAGCGGGGTCGGCTACGTACGGTGCGAAGGAAGTTCAAGTTCAACGTGCATACAATCCGGCTCAACCACCCAACTTTGAATAGATGTACTCTAGTGGTAGCGCAGCCATGTCATTGCGAGCCGCTCTCCTCTTGCCGCTACTGCCACAACCCACCAGCAGCAGACAAAGATCCCCAGCACAGCCTTCACAGACTGTTAGGGCAAGTGCTGTAATCGAGTCGCACCTATGAAAGCTGGAACGGCGCACGAGGGTGGGAGCCTTCGTCTCCCCAGTGGCGATGTTTTCACATCGCACCGGCCACTCACTTGTAAGGCTTGGGTCCTCGACACACACCCAACACGCCACGGGTTGAGATCATCGTCACCAGCGCTGTTGGCCGTGAACGGGTAATCGAACTTGGATGGGCGGGTTCGTGTTCGTGGCGCCGCGCGCTAACCACTATACGACCGCTCCTTCTGCGAGGAGCGGTAGTGACACAGATCCCCCGTGTAGCCTGAACAGACTGCTGGGCCAAGTGATGTTAGCGAGCACCTATGAAGGCTGGAACGGTACACGAGGAGGTGGGTGGCCAGCACCACGACCGACCGCCTTTGTTTCCCCAGTGGCGATGTTTTACACACCTCACCAGGTACTCCTTTGAGGCTGAGTTGACCTAGGGGAGGCCCAGGACCAGTTCAGATAATTCTCACTGCTGTTGGCGGGAATCGAACCCGGGTCGCCAGGTTTATAGCGCAGCGCGCTAACCGCTACACTACCGCTCCCCACATACACACACAGACACACACACAGACATACACAGACATACACACACAGACACACACACAGACATACACACACACACACAGACACAACAACAACCGCCATTCGTCACTAAGTGGCGGTGACGTCACCACGACGCATGTGCCAGGCCATGTGCACCTTGAAGCCACGTGAAGTGTCGAACGCCCGCTGGCAGGAGGTCACAGGGCAGACCCAGGTGCCACGGATCGACTGACTGAGATGACTGGCTGATGCACCACCTCTGCCCCTACTGTGCCAACCTGCTGTGCTTTAGCCACCCGGCGCTCCGCTCGTTGTTGTGAGCGTCGCTCCTCCGCCATCCGTTGTTGTTGGAGGGCGACTGCCTCCAACTGCCCAGTAGCGTCCTTCACGAGCCTCCTCCACAGAGGCCGATCTTGACACCGCTGGTACCAGTCATCGGCAAGTCCACTCAGCTCCACGTCCTCCTGTACCACATCACTCCATCTCTTCTCTAGCTCGTGCCGCGCACGTTTAGCCCCCTCGATCCGGCCGAACAAAGCTGTTTCGGCATGCGGTGGCTGGGCATGCGGGCTACACGACCCAGCCAACGCAGCCTTGCCTGCCGGAAGAGCTCATCGATGGGACCGTGCCCAGATCTTTCAAGGATTTGTGAGCTCCTCACACAATCCAGCCTGGTTAAACCCAGGATGGATCGTAGACAGGCCAGCCTAAATGTTTCTAACCGGCGAAGATGTTCCATTAGGGGGGTCCACGTTTCGCAAGCGTAGAGAAGGGAGGGAATGACCCTGGCCGAGAAGACCTGAAGCTTAGTGCGGAGCGACAGACCAGGTAGCTTCCACACAGCGTTACGCAACCGATGAAAAGATATTGCCGCTCGACTGATTCGGAATGAGACCTCTGCTGTTAAATTGGAGCCAGTCATCAGCACACTGCCCAGGTACGGGAAACTCTCCACTCTCTCCACAACTGCCCCATCACCGATTGGGAGTTGTGGGGGTGGAGTGTCCGATGGTACAAAATACCCAGGCAGGTGCTTAGTTTTGGTGGGGCTGATGGTAAGGCCCCACCTCTTAGTGGCACGCTCCAGTCTCAGCAGCAGCGTCTCCAACTCCTCCTCTGACTGAGCAGCACAGATATACACACACACATAAAATAAAGATAAAGATCC